AGTAGAAGACGCACTATGGGCGTACAGAACCGCGTATAAGACGCCGATTGGAATGTCTCCGTATAGACTTGTTCTCAGTAAGGCTTGCCATCTTCCCGTGGAGTTCGAACACAAGGCGTTTTGGGCGGTGAAACAGTGTAACATGGGATTAGACGAAGCAGGGGTCCAAAGGAAATTGCAGCTACAAGAGTTAAAGGAGATAAGAAATGAAGCGTATGAGAATGCCACGATCTATAAGGAAAAGAGTAAAATCTTTCATGATCAGCAGGTTTCTAGGAAAACTTTTGTAGTGGGGCAAAGAGTCCTCTTGTATCACTCAAGGCTTAAACTTTTTCCCGGTAAGTTGCGTTCTCGTTGGATTGGTCCATTTGTCGTTTCTAATGTGTTTCATTATGGTGCAGTGGAGATCCAAAGTTTAAAAACGGAGAAAAGGTTCGTGGTGAATGGCTATCGTCTCAAGCCTTATTATGAGGGATTCGCTGTTGAGGAAGTAGAAGTTATACACCTCCAAGATCCACTTTATCTTGCTTGAGGGTTTTGGCCATGTCTAGCCAAAGACATTAAAGAAAGGCGCTACTTGGGAGGCAACGCAAGACTATTTGTTTCAGTTTTCATGCATTTTTTAAGTTTTAGTTAAGTGTTAGTGTCAATTAATAGTTTGATGTTTGGTGGCAGGAAATTAGTAGTTAGACGTGCCCACGCCAGGTGGTCACGCCTGAGGGAAAGAAATTTTCGTTCAGGATCTGCGGACTCTATAGCAGTTAGACGTGCCCACGCCAGGTGGTCACGCTAAAGAATCAAAAATTTTCGACGGATGGTCAAATGACTAAGGGCAGTTAGGCGTTCCCACGCCTAAGCCAGAGGTTCCTTGAACCAAAAAAAAAAAAAAAGATCAAATTGCCCCTGAACGACAAAAAGAAAAAAAGTACAAAATTTCCAAGGGATCCGCAGCCCTACTCTTTCTTTCTTCTTCTTTCTTTTCTTTCTTCTTTCTTTTCTTTCTTTTTCTCATTCTTCTTCCTTTTTCTTGCTTTCCGCCGCCGCCCCACGCCAGAGCCAGAACTGCCGCTGCCCATCGCGTCGCTGCCCACCACGGGCTTCGCCCCTGCACCAGTCGCGCGAGACCCTCTCCGCACGCCGGGCCGTCAAGCGATCTGGCAGATCGCGCACCAGCAGCCGCAGCAACCAGCAGCGGCAGGCGCGCGACTCCAGCTCACTTCCAGAGCAGCAAGCAGCCAGAGCCCCCAGCGCGCGCGACTCTGCCTAGCAACCCATCGCACGCCGTCCAGTCCAGTCGCGCTCTCGACCAGCAGCCAGGCGCGCAGTTTTTGCGCGCCGCAGCAGGCGCGACCCATCCGCGCGCCTTGCCTTGCGCCAACAGTAGCCCAGACCAGCAACAGCGAGCAGCAACGCCGCAGGCGCCCACTGTGCGCGCAGCTTCACCAGCCACCAGCTGCCTTCGCACGGCCAGTTCGCGCGAGCAACGCACTACCGCGCGCACGGATCAAAACCAGCTGCACACGGTGCGCAGTCATCCGCCAAGCGTCGCGCCCACCTGCGTTCTTTTTCTTTTCCACCCATGGCAACTACCGGTTATTCCTTCCCCCTGGTGATTTCTTTCTTTAATTTTCTGTCACTAAGTAGCTAAGGCCAGATTACTAGTCTTTATTAGCTGACGCCAAATTTTAATTTCGTAGCTGAGGCCAGATTATTAGTTCTACTTAGCTGAGGACAGATTTGTTTTAAATTGTTAGCTGATGCCAGATATTTTGTGGTTAATTTGAGTGCTGTGATATCATCTGTGGTTGGTTGACGACTATTTGACCAATTTTGGGGTTGAATCTGAGGTAATTGGGGAAATTTTTGTTGTTTCCATGTTTAATTAGTTTTTGGGTGAAGATTTTATTATTTATCAACTTAATTGATTTTTGGGTTGTTTAGTTTCTATTTGTGCAATTGTTGGTGTTTGGAGCTGTGTTTGGGGACCTCTTGCTTTGTTGACTAGCTACCGCTCCATTTTACCCAGTTTTACCTTGTCTTTGCCATCTTTCCTGATATCCAATGACCAAACCCATGACTAAAGGCAAGAACAAGTCATCCACCTCCACCCCTCAGCCTACGGTCCCCTTAGGGGGACCTGCCCCCTCGACTGGGCCGGGAGGACCCCGGACCCGTCTTGGGCGGAATAGGGGGTTCATATCTCCTCTCCGGCCCATTTTGGCGGTAATTTGACCTTCACCCGGGCTGCAGACAAGGAGCGGTATGCCTCGGCGTGCACAAGGAAGATAATTCCTTGTAAATACATCCATGGCCCTACCCTTGATATGTTGAACCTTAGGGCTGAGGTCACGCAGCACTTGACCGACATAGGTTGGACCCGCTATGCCTCTATCAATCTACCTGCTTTTACTGAACTCACGTGGGAATTCTATGCTACTTTTGAATTTAATATTCCTGATGAATTCTCCGTTACCACTCCTGGGGTGGTGAGGTTTCGATTAATGGGTAGAGAGTTCAACCAATCTATCACTGAGTTTAATTTGGCTCTTGGGTTTATTGATGTTCCCTACTCCCAGAGTGAGGAGTATATGCACAGTGTGTGCGAGTACACAGAGCCATTTTTCTCTTATTACATTGGTTATTGGAGAGATTTGTCGGTTGACCGACACTGCTATGACCCCAGTCAGTCTAAGACTTCTTATCTTAAGAGCGCCGCCTACCGTTATTTGCATAGATTCATGGCCTATAGTTTCTCAGGTAAGAAGGATAGCTCGGGTACTCTGACCAAACCCGAGTTCTTTTTCATTTGGTGCATGGTCACTCGGACTAAGGTCAATTTGGGTAACTGGTTTGCCCTCCACCTCCGAACTGTGCTCAGTAAGAAAAATAAGCCATTAATCTTAGGCTCATTTATCACTCAGTTGGCTGTAAATCTTGGGGTTTTGGACTTGAATAATCATAATTTACATCGTGTTTGTATTATGGAACCCCTTGATTTTGTTTGTTTGGAGAAAATGGGTCTTGTGCGACAGGTGAATGGGGCTTTCCAGTTTGCTCCCCCGGGGCCAATCTCTGTTCCTCCGAAGCGCAGCGCTTCCAAATCCACTGCCCCGGAGGCGGGTGGTCCTTCCATGGATGCCCCCGGGCCGTCCTTTTCGGCGCCTCCACCATCTTCCTCCGCTGATAGCCAGCTTGCAGCCCTTCGGTTCCAGATGCAACACATGGACACTCGTATGGATCGGTTGGAGCGCCAAATGGGAGGGATGACCCAGAATTTGGCACAGTATCTCCACCACGTGGGTTTCCGCCCGCCTTTCCCTCCGCAGCCGTGATTCATTTCTGCCCTCCTCCGTTTTAAGGGAAGTGTCGTTGCCCCAATACCTCTGATTTGGTCTTTCTTTGCTTACATTGAGGGTAATGTAAGGTTTAGGTGTGGGGGAGGGTTAATTATGCTTTGGTCGTGTTTTTAATTGTCTGATTAAATTTTTCCTTGCCTTAGTAGTTCTTTTTTTAAAACTGTGATGAATGCAATTGAGATATGAGTGTATGTAGCAAGTTCATGCCATGGGGTGTTCTATTTTCCTCGATGACGAATTGATTGATGAATATGCTGAACTTGACATAAATTTGACCACTTGTACGATTTTTGGGCTTAATTTTTCGTTTGTTTGAGTGATTATTGCACATGGTTTGTCATTCTAGAACTTGCTCGGTTATGCCTGTCAAGACCACATTTAAATGAGTTTAATGCATTGAAATGATAGGGCACCTAGGAATGAGCCATTTTTGGACTTTCTTAAAACCAACCCTGGGATTATTTACCATTAGGGAGCCAAGTTGAGCCTTAACTCCTATTCTTCGCTTGAGGCCCTAGTTTTTAGTCGAAAAGTTTTTTTTTAGACTTTCTTTTTTAACCTTGTGTGAAGCAGTGCTTTGATTTCACTATACAGAATTTTGGAGTATTATTTGAGAGGCATTACACCTATCTATGAAATTGAGTAATAAAAAAAAACGAGAAAAGAAGAGACAAAGGTGAAAAGAAGACAAAGGGCAGGAAATCAGCAAGTAAAGTTGATTCTTATGGTGCTGGTTGGGAGTTATGGTACAAAATTGAATTCAAAGGAAAAAAGAGGAGAAAGAAAAAGTCGAAGGTTGTGGCAAGTGCTAATTTACTTCGATTGAGGGATGGTTGAGGTGCCTTGAAGTTCCCAATGTGAAAAAATCTGTGTAATGAATTTCTGAGCACTTTCTTTATATTTTTACACCCTTTTGACTCCTTTTTATCCTACCTTCTCACCCTAGCCCCATTACAACCTTGTAAAGTCCCTTGATTGCTGCATTTAAATTCATGAGTAAGTGGTGGCGATATGATATATGAGCAAGCTTATGGTAGTGTCATTCTATTGTGTTGATTTGAGAGCCATCTTATATACATTTCATATATACTTTGGAGTGAATGAGTGCACTTTAAACTGCGAGAATTGTTGATTTGGTATATTCTGATTTCGATGAGGTTATTGGGGAATTCGGAATGCCATTCTTGGGATGAACTGCTGTGATTTGTTTAGTATCTTTATTGCATTTCTGAGTTAATTATGCTTGAGGGCAAGCATAGTTCAGGTGTGGGGGAGATTGATAAGATGCATTTTAGTGGGTATTTTGGGCATTATTGCACAATTAATTGACTAAATATTTCCATTAATTGGGGTGGATTCTACTGATATTTTGTTTTGGTGCTAATTGCAGGAATGGATGCTGAAAAGTGCTTAAATTCAAATTTTAGAAAATTCATCGTATGTGGGGCCCGCTTGAGAAGCTGAAGAAATCTAATTGTAATAGATTTTATTTTATTATATTTTGAGGGAGTCTGGTTGCAATTTTGTACACATAACAATTCTCGGCTATCGGGGATATTTCTTTATCTCTCGTGCGGCTTAGGTTTGAGCGAAAAGAGGAGAGGCCGCATTCCTGACTTTGTATTGGTTCTTTATCTGTTGCTGACTTTGTGTTCTTGGGAGAGTTTTTTTTCCAAGCCTTAACCGAATTGAGAAACTTTTGCTCTCGTATGTCTTTTTGCAATAGAAATCAGAGGAGACAAGAGCCTCCATTATTGACCATATATTACTCTTCCATTTTTGGTTGACTGCGGCAATCCCAATGCTAAGCCTGGTTGACCGCAATTGATAGAACAAAAGAAGCAGAAGCTTTTCTCGTATCATTGTGGGCAAATAGGAGGCAGCCACTATTGTGGACTTTGTGGATTTGTTTCTTTACTCAATTTTGACCGGAATTGGAAGTCAACCTCAGACCATTGTATATGTACGCTTTGGAAGAAACCTGGAAGCAGAAAAGCTTCCTTGCGTTTTCCTCTGGTGCTGACCGAAGCGAAGGAAAAGTATCTGCAAACCTCCCTAAACTCCACGCGCCGCTTGTCCTTCATTAATGGAGGGTTAATTCTCCAACTCTAGTCAAGGGAGCAACTAATGAATTGGTTCAACTAATACTGTGAGATCTAAACCATTGTTAATTGTTTTCTTCATTTATTGATATTTACATGTTCCTTGCTTTTAATCGCTATAACCTTGTGTATGATTGGTTAGTGCACAATAATTAATTATTCATATAGGCTATTTTGCTATATAGGGGTAATTGAATCCGTAATTGTTCGTTATCTCTATCCCAGTAGCAACTGGCATAATTGGATTTGTGTCAGGGGAATATTTGATCTAGCTTAAATAAACCCTCGTAGCGTGTTTGTTAGCTAGGATTGGGCCTTTCTAATTAATAATGCAATCTAAAAATTAAATCCTACGGTCGTACCTAAGGTTGTTTTTGGGTTAGAGAAATAGTTAACGGTCGTACCTTAACTATCGAAAAAGTAAGGAAAGGTTGGTTGTTTATCGCGTGCATGACAACTATAACTAATCTATTAATAAATGTTGGAATTATATTTGAATCGATGATCAGTTGCATGATTTCTGATGTGTACCCTTGGCTAGAGTTTCCCTAAGTATTTCTGTTATTTAATTATTTTCTGCATTTAATTTGTTTAGTTGGCATTTGATACCAAAACCCCCCCATTAATCTTGATTTGAAAAGAAACAAAATATCTTGCTAGTCCCTGAGGAGACGACCCTGCTTACCACTATCTACTAGTTAGGGAATTCAGTTAAATAATTAATTCAGGTATATCGGATTAAGCAAACTCTTCGGGAACAGGGTGAATCAAGTAACCCATTGCACACCTAGAATCCCTGCTCCAGTACTCGAATTGATTATTGACTGCTTTAGGTGGTAGTTAGGTTTTATTTATTATTACTGCACAGGTTCGGCACCTGTCATCTACATTTACTTATTTCTTAAACCAATTTGAAGTAATCAAAGTGTGGATATCAAATACGTGTGGCAATGCCATTTCAATATTTAATATATGATTGATTGCAAACATTTCACATTGTCATTAATTTACTATCAACATTTAAATACTTTCTTGTTCTGGTTGGTTATTTTAACTAATTGTAACTTTTGTTTTTATATAAGGGATAATTTCAGAAACCTCCCTTGAGATTTCTGATAATTTCATTGACCTCCCTTGAGGTTTCGAAAATAATACTGACCTCCCCTCAACTGATTTTGGGACCCATTGCTGATGTAACCTGGAATTAATTTGCTACTTTGCCCTTATGCATAAAAGGGTGATGAGAAACCAATTTCTGGAAAAAAATAATTAGGTCATTAAATAAATGAACTAATCAAATGATATTAACTGTAGTTCTATCTCTAATAAGCCAATGCAACTACACTTAAGAAATGACACTAATTGATGCACCAATATGGAGCCATTTTTTGTGATTGGACATGACTTTAGAGAGCAACACAAGGATAGTATTATATGAAAACTTGGCGAAGATGGAAAAATGGAGGGAAAAGAAGGAAAAAAGCATAGCTCCCCTCAGGTTAAAATATGTTGATTTGCATTAAGCTTATTGACATGCTACCCACTCATGCTTTTGTATATGGTTGGCATTAGTGACAAACAATCAATGGTCATGAAATTTGGCTTTGCAATCCTCACCATCTGCCTCATTCTTTTGGGGCAGATGGTGTTTGAAACTATCTTGGATTGCATCGATAGTTATGTAATACTATAATTGTTACAATTATAGCAATTTTGAACTAATGTCAAGTGACTTATGTTGCCTTACTAACTAGTTCAACTAATAAGTTGTTGCTTATTATCTCTTAGTAAAGTTACAGTAGTAGTCATCAAACAATAGTCATACATTTCTTCCAAATACAATCCAACTGACAAGTACTACTGGTTTACTTCTTATATAATCAGAAAAGATTTAAAATGGTTGGTACAATGTCGTGACACTTTTATATTTGTTACGAGAGTTTATCCAATTGATTTTATATTTTGGATGAATATAGATACAACACCTAGTGTGATATTTATGATGAGTATCATGTTAACTATGGCCTTTGGTTGATCTAGCCTTGCCACTTTTTATTACCTCAAAATTAGATAATCACACTAAAAATAAATTATTTCTTGAGTTGCTTGAGCTGTTTATATGGTTTTGAAAGAAACTTAAAATATGGCCATTGCACTAGCCATTTGGTGCAAACTAAAGCTTCAAGTTGTTGTTACTGCACTTTTCCTAACTGCTATCACACCTACTAGAATTTACTAATTATGTATGTCTTTTAATAGTTTTCATTATTTACTAATACAAGTTGTGGATAAGCAAAAAGGGCATATGTGGAACACAAATATCATCTCACTCCTCAAAATATTTTTTTAATGCTCATTTTCCTGACATGGGCTGATCATGTTACTACAACTATAAGTTTAGGGGAGGTTTATGTCATTTTCAAAACCTTAGGGGAAGTCAATGAAATTGTTGGAAACCTCAGGGGATGTTTCTGAAATTATCCCTTTATATTATCAGTCTCTTTTGATGTTTTCGTTTGTTTGATTTTGTATTTGGATTATGGAGTTTTTAATAGACAAAAAAAGTTAAAATCTAAAATCTATCAAAAAGTAGCTTTTGGTGATTCTTGTATTCTCTGTTTATTTTCCATAATCACACATTTTTGAAAATCTAAAGTAAAATGCTAAAAACATCACTCACCAGAGGCCACTTATTTCATAATAAATAAAATAATACTTAGTATGTTGGTTTCATTGCATGTCTTTCTCAATTATTTTTAAAAATTTTTCTAACCATGTTTTTATTTTACAAATAGCACATTCTAAAAAAAATGCTATAATATTATCGCAAAAAAATTAAATAATTTTTAATCCAAATAGACCCGCTAGTATCACTATCTTCACATCAAAATACAACAGAAAAAGAAGAAAATATATTTCCTTTTGAAAATCTAAAGTAAAATGCTAAAAACATCACTCACTAGAGGCCATTTATTTCATAATAAATAAAATAATACTTACTACGTTGGTTTCATTGTACGTATTTCTCAGTTATTTTTTTTAATTTTTCTAATCATGTTTTTATCTTACAAACAGCACATTCTAAAAAATGCTATAGTATTATTGCAGAAAAAATTAAATAATTTTTAATCCAAATGAACCCACTATTATCACAATCTTCACATCAAAATAGAAAGAGAAAAAAGGAAAATATATTTCCTTTTCCATTTCGATTATATTTACCTCCTAAGTTTGTTTTCTATAAATACTGGAGCAGGGAGACAGCCACTGAGCCACAGCTAAGGGTGGCAATCGGGTCGGGTTCGGGTTGGCGGGTCGGGTTGAGGCTTAAGTATAATAAGAAACCTGCTGACCCGAACCCGACCCGCCAACCCGAAACGGGTTAGAGTACCTGACACGAACCCGAAAATTTCGGGTTGGCGGGTCGACCCGAAATGACCTGAAACTTAATTTTAATTTATTAATTTATCACTGTAATTTCTAATAAAATCAATTTTTCACAAAATTAATTACATCATTAAGTAATAAAAATTTAAATAAATAATTTCAAACCAAATCTAAAATAAATTAAACACCATAAAAGTGTTTTATCCCAAACCAAATATAAAATAAATTAAAACAGCATAAAAGTAAAAAATAACATAATATATTATTTGTCCAAATATAATAATTTTAACTTCACACAAGTTAAATAAATTCATTTAGGACTAAGTAATTAATGTCTTTGGAAAAAAAGAATGATTTAGTTTAGTTAGATAAAATAATTTTAATGTTTATTAAATTAGTTTTAATTCGTAAACGGGTCACATCAGGTCATATCAGGTCACCACGGGTTGACCTGAAATTGACATGTTTTTTTTTTCGGGTTCATCGGGTTCGACCCGATTCTGACCCGAACTCCCAAAACCTCAACTCAAACCCATTAATTTCGTGTTAGGTTCGTGTCGTATTTTCGGATCGTGTCAGGAATTGCCACCCTAGCCACAGCATCAAAACTTACAAAGACAGAGTAAGCAGAGACAGGGAGAGGATCGAGGAGGATGGCAGCAACAACAACAAGAGCAAAGCCTGAAGCACAAAAGATAGTGTGGAATGAGAAAGACCGAAAATTTGAGACAGAGGATAAAGAAGCATACTTGCAGTACCAGCTCAGAAATGGGGGAAAAGTTATGGACATCATCCATACTTATGTTCCTTCTAGCAAGAGGGGTTTAGGCCTTGCTGGCCACCTCTGTGTGGCTGCTCTCTCTCATGCTCAATCCAATTCTCTTTCAGTCATTCCCACCTGCTCTTATGTCTCCGTAAGCCCACCTCTTTTATTTTATTTTTGGCCACCGCTTCTGTCCTCCAATTTGTGCATGTTTTCTTTAGTTTTAATGGGATTTTTTTTTTTTTTTTGGAAAAAATGTTTGTGGAATTTGGGATGAATTTCTGTGGTTCTATTGAAATTTAGGCAAAGTTCTGATGATTCTTTTCTGGGTTTTTCTAATTTTTCTTGTATGTGTTGTTGATTTTTTTTTTTTATCGACTTCTTTTTGGGTTTTGCATATTGCTGCTGTTTGAAATTTTTATCAAGATAGGTTTTTTATTCGTCATTATTCTTTGGGAATGGGGGTGAGGGTCAAGAAATGCTATGTCATATTAACTGATAATTTTGTTAATCTTTTTCCCTGTAGATTTCTCAATATTTGGTAATTTTTGTTTATTTTGAATAGGTGTTTTCCATTCTCTCTTAAGTTATTCATATCCGGATATTTGCAACAATGTTTTCTCCTTCTCATCCCAGTATTTATTTCATGGCTGGAATCTGGAATTAATTGGTTTTGTGTGGATACATGGTGTTTGTTCTTGACTGGTGAATGATAAGCACAATGGTATATGAGTGTGTATTAGCTGTGAACTTTAAGGTTTTCACATGTAAAGTTCAAAAGTGTGGGTAAATGCATGGTTTAAATAAGAAATGCTGAACTAAGATTAAACGAAGATGACAGAAAGATTGAGAAGATGAATTGAATTGTGCTTAATAAGAAAGTTCAATGGAAAGAGAAAATTCTTGATTGTCTTCAGCAAAATCTTTCAGATATCTAGCAGCTATTACACTTTCTTTTTATTACTCAGTACCTATTGCAAATGCCTAATGACGAGATATTGCAGTTGACAAGTTAGATGTGCTTCTGGAATTATGAACTTAGATGAGGTAAAAAATGGAACTAAAATAATGCCTTGTAGAAATCAAAACATGGCATGACTCTGGTAAACTCTTTTGAAGTGAAGGATTTGGACACATTTTTAATCTATCATTTTTTGATGGCTATAAAGATGCACAATGAAAAACCTTTTGAACTATTGTTGCTTCTGATGCACAACTAGATGTAGAATGTGAATGAATTAGATGCAGAACTTTTCTAAATAACAAAATTGAAAATATGGAGAAGATGTAGGTCTTTTTTCTAAAGTAGCAATGAGAAACATGAGTATAGAAACATGGAATGGAGGCCATTTTTTCTGAAGTCGCATGAGAAACAGGTGTATATAGACAGGTGAAGAAAATTATGCAGAAATGAGGGATGGAGGTCTTTTTTTTTTTTTGTCTGAAGTAGCAATGAGAAACAAGTGTAGAGAAAGAGGCACTCAAGGGAAGACTACAAACGAAATTGTAGTTTCATGTCTTGACACCAGCTAACAGATAAAATTTGTATGAAATATTTCAACTTTAAAGACCAGGTCAAAGTTGATGGTCCTTTAGAGAATAAAACATGTTTGATGACACTGGAGGGAATAAATCAATCACTCACATGTAGAAGAATCTGTTATTCTGGAAAATTCACTTAATGATCTTTTACCACTAGAGAAAATCCTAATGATAAGTTATTTTTAAATAACTGCGTGCATTTTTGCTTACTGCTATCCAGTGTAAATTTTGCAAGATATGCTTTGGCTGGTATCCCATGAGGAATACATGACAACCAGTCTTCACACTGTTTTGGAACTGCAACTCTATAGCTGCTATTATCTTCAAACCAAAAGGAAATTATGTCTTGTGAATTGAACTATATTTTTTTGGGGTGGGGGGTTGATAAATTGGGTGGCGATCATAAATACTTGTGGTTGTTGTTTAGAAGTCATCTCAAATAGATAAACTCTCACATATAAAAGTTGTATACTACTGTTGCACTGTCATAAGGAATTTAAGAAGCAAGCAGAAACAATTTTGGATCATTTTGGGGCTGGCTTAATAGTTATAAACCATGGCACAGGTCAGCTGCTTTGTTTCAAGTTTTAGAATGGGTAGTAGCATTGTAAAGGGACATTGTGATGATGTGTATTACTAAAGGAGCATGCCCTACTGATTCATTGCCATGAGAATTGCTTCATCAGCTTAGTTCTTGGACCTTCAACAGAGAGGGTATAAGGACTTGTATAGTCTATTTGACATCCGGTTGGATAGATAGTAGTCTTCTACAGTAATCTGGTCTGACTGTTCTATCTTTGCAATATCCTGGAGTGAATTTGTCATTTGCTCTTCTGATCTTGATTTTCTGCTTCTTCCAGACTGAAATGTACTTCGGGCCTCAGTGTTTTTCATTTTTCTGGAAAACAGCCAGATTTTCTTGCTTTCATGATATATGCCAAGCTTTTAGTTACTTGCTGGGATACTCACTACTCTATCCTGGTTTTACCTGGCAGGATACTTTTCTTCCCCGAAACTCATCATGGGATTCTGTTGTGTACAAAGAAGAGCTCAAGTCTTCTATATGAAGTTGATGGTACGGTGAAAAATCACCTACTTGATCTTTCAAAGAAAACTTGAAATAAAATTGTCCCGAGTTTTATTTTGTTTCCGCTGATAGATACTTCTATCAGCTTATAGCTCTTTTTCCTGGCATACAGTCAACGTCCAATATATTGAATGTTATACTGCTTTACCTCTTTTCAGCAGAAGCTCTTCAGCAGTTTCTTCAGTCATACTGTTCTTGCTGTGATGATTGTTTCACCTTTCCATTCCCACGACAGAACAAGTTCACTGCTTCAGTTCCAGTGAGCAGTTTTAGATGTTAGTGCAGCAACTGAATTATGGAACTCTCTTTCTCTCTCTCTCTCTAAAATGTTTAATTTCTTCTTTTCTTTTTGAAAACTGTTTTAAATTACAGAGAGTTGAGATGTCTAATCAGGTAAAGAGTAAAATTGTGCAAAACATCTTAATCTCTCGAATAATCTGTGAATGTTGTATAACACCTGAGTTTTGCTGCTTGATACAAGTTCATAAGGTTATTAAGAGTTGAAACTCGAAAGAGAACTTTTGAACTATGCATTAGTAGCGTAACTTAATGAAGCTTAAGATATTGTTTGATAACTCAATTCGGCACTTAAACTTAATGGATTTAGATCTTACCATATTCAGACGCGTTTGATAACCAAAAATTAAATATCTAAATTAATTAAGTGGCACTGAATTTCCTAAGTAAAATTTGCTCTCAAAATTAAGTGATAAGCTATTTACTTATCAATCAATGTGATATACACTTAAATATATTAGATTTAATATTTAACAATTTAACAACTTAATGGATTCAAATTTCATATTTCCATACAATTATGTGATAAATGTAAGTCTACCGAATATTGCACAGTAATGATTATTTGATTAAAAACCAGTCAGAAAGGGGAAGAAATCAACGAGGAAAAAAGAGCGGAATGATTTCCTAATTGTTAATGCTACGATCTGTCTGAAACCTCATGTGAAGGTATTGTCCATTGTGGCCCAATGGACTTCACTGTTTTGTGCTCTAAAAGGCACCGCACTTTGTGGGGAAGACTCTTTCTTAATTTAGGTAAAGACTCTTTCTTAATTATCAACCCATCTAGGATCTTTGGTCCTCCCCTTTATATCACCACAAACCCTTTCGTAAATGATGCTTGGATCGGGTGTCCAAGATTCGTATTTCAAATTCACTACTTTGAACTGGGATTTATTTATTTTTTTTTTTGGATCAATCGTCACTTATTTATCCTACACCTATTTCTATTTTTATTTTAGCTTATTTGATGGGGACTGAACCACCATCAAACCGACGGGAAATTGAAATTGATTTGACTCGGCTATTTTCAACCTTGTTTTGGAACTCATCTTTGCCCCCTGTAGCTGTAAGGGAAGCTTGGACCGAATGTCTAAGGTTGCCATATTGAGCTCACTACTTTTGAGTTCAAGTTGTCCTCTCGGGACGGTGGAGTTTTTTTTTTTTTTGGAAGACGACAACAGTTGTATAATCTAATCTATTCTACACGAAAGGAAAGGCGGCGGATCTAAGGAGACCAGGAATAACTCGGAGGGGACGGTGGAGTTCAACACTTCTATTTTTAACTTCTTTTTGAAGCTCAGTTTCGCCCCTGTAGGAATAGTCTACTACTGCTACTGCTACTAACCAATGTGAAATCTTTGATCCTCCTCCTCACATCACCGGTAATCAAAGCACCTCTTTTACGCGGTGCGATGTATATTCACAAGTGCCGAGGGTAATAGTCAATCTATAACATGTCAATCTCAAAGTATACATCAAGATGTATTTCTACCAAAAACCATGTCAAATTCGTAATATCTTCTTGTTAATTATGATGTGCACAGGGCTCCTGGAGAACAAATTATGTAAAGTACTATAGTAAAATTTCAGTGATTTCACTATCAGAACATACACTTTTTTAAGGTTTCGTAACCATGATGATGCATCAGCATCCATTGCCAGGTGTTTTCACTATTGTAAACTTTAGTAAATGTTGAAAACTAGGAAATTGATCTCCTGAATCCAACAATTTCAGTTGACAAATATATCCTACAGAAAGATGATAACAATATAGTAGGGGCATGCTTCGACAACTATTACTTCTTCATTCACAATAAGCATTGTTATTCAGTTTGTAACAACAATACAGTTCTGAAAAAATGTTTTTTGAAGACAGAGCCTTGAAAATCTTGGACCGTGTCACAAGATTGTAGTGGCTGTTTAAACAAATACAAATAGAGATTCACACCACACTCCTCTTCACTGCAGCTGGAAAAGAAATAATACATATTTACATGGTCTGTTCACTGGCATTCTTCTGATGATCAGCCCGGTACATAATAGTCCATCCTTTCCACCGGCAGGTTCAGAACTGATGTTTCCACCTATCCCAGAAAATAGACAACACACTATTATGATAGAACAACATTTGTAAGATAACCCAAAATAAAAGAAAAAAACATATTAACAACCCAAAAAAAGGTCATGAAAATAGATACTTAAGCCGAACAAATCTCATCAAAGAACATACTCCATGCCCATTATATCTACCAATTACCAAGTGCAAACGTACCTAAGAATAAGCATTTACCTTAGAACTACTAATATTGGAATAATAGATCCTGTGAACCAACAATGTTGTCATGGAATTATTTAATGGCGAGAATTCATTGCAATTCTCAGGGTAAAGGAAATTTAGCTTCTTCCACAACACGTAGAGTGCTTTTATTTTTATTGCTCCTGTTATGCATTTAACAAGATCTCAGGTAACAAATGCATCAGTTGATCACAAAGATGACCAAGACGCAGTAAAAAACAATGTAACATGCAGAAAAGAGAAACTTATATGTCAGAATGATACAATTAGCATATAATCATGAATAGTCCACCACTGAGAATGACAAAGCATGTAAAAAAACTGTATTCTAGTTGTGACAAAAATAATAATAAAAAAAGAAGCTTACCTCCTCAAATGGAATGAAGACAAAAGGTGTCAGACCCCTCTTGTGCGTAATTGCTGGAACGTCTGGGTTATGTGTCTCATCTTCCTCCCACCTTTCAACAACGCCAAGAATGTCTTCATCAGGGCCAGTAACCTCAGTATCACTTACGCCACTGGTAACAAGTGCCAGTAAATCCATCCGATTATTAGCACCTGCTATCGTTCCCCTTAACCTATTCATCAACACATAAGAAGGTAAAGAAAAAATGAAACATCTGTGTTTGAGACCATCTAGGTTACCCAAAAAAAAAAAGAAAAAACTTTCATACAAGTATATCCTTAATCTTAACCACCAGGAATTTCCGTTGGAGATGGAATTTCCATTGGAGATCTTCCAAAAGCCCTAACAATCCCTCTCACAACTCTACCAGCAGTTGACTACATTTTTGGCAATAACTCTAGGCACCTTTGTGGAAGTTAGATATACACACAGATACACAGAAAAGACACACTCTTGCTAATCTCCACCATTTTCTCTCTTACAAAATATAATAAGAAACTCTGACCTTATACCAGTTCATTCCATTTCTCACATGACTTCGTAGTTACTAATCATATTCCTTATCATCAGAAAGATGACAAGTAACACCTTTGGTTCACAGAAATTGAAGTAGAGTTCAACAAGTACCTCAACCGAATTCTCCACACAGTAGGGCGCAAACCAGGATACAGAAAAGCAGCTTCAACCTGTGAATGCAGCAGTAAAGATGAACTTCAAAATCAGAATGAAATGAAATGAAACAAGCAACAAACTGTTGAACAAACAAATTGCAGTTTTGAACAGGAAGAGCAACTTGCACAGAATGAGAATGCCACATAACATAAATTAGGAAACGCATGAGATAATTAGCATTAGAACATAAAGAAACCAGCAAATTTAAGCAATTGACCTTGTCCTCTGACAATGTATAATGACCACCAAATACACAATCGCCTTTTGTAGAACGGAAGTTCATGTATTTCGCCACCTCCTTCACTTTCTGTGATGAATTCTGATAGTCCAAAAGAAAAAAAGAAATGTAATCAGCCAGAATATAGGAAGAAGATTTTATAGGGTACCAAAAAGCGCTAAGGTAGAAAATGAAATAACCTTGTACAGAAATCTGCCTGAAGGATAAAATCTCAAGTAACGGTAATAGCACACCTGCAGTGAATAACAGAACCAGAGTTTTAAAAATGGCGGTGAATAAACCACTAAACATAGAAATGGCAAGAGAGGGAAGCAAGGACCCAATAAATAATTGATTTAAAGCAATTCAAATAGTAAGTTCACCATGAATATAAGATGATAAGCTCATTACTCCCAAGACCCATTGCACATAGCAATTCAAATAATTGATTTAAGTTCTTGTCGAAGTATGCAAATAGTAAGTTCACCATGAATATAAAGATGATAAGCCCCTTGTGCATATGAGCAGTCAATTTGATTTGAGAGACATAATATTTAACTTCCAATGGATAAATTCAAAGACTAGAGGCTCACGCTCCAAGTTCAGAAAACAAAGGTCAAGACAAATAAGCCAGAGAGGCTTTAATAATCTTACTTCTAGAGTAGTCTAACTACCCAATATACAGAAATGACTTAAATTTGTCAATTCTAGAATAAAAGAGGCACTTTTCAAACTTAAAAAAAATTTCATTCAAGATAAGATCCTGCAATGGAGTGGTACTATAATAATCTGCAAGGGACACCATGAGTGCAATCATAATTTCTCCAGTATCACTGCAGATGTCTTGCAACAGAAACATAAAGGTCAACACAATCATCACTTGACTCATAGTACTTCAAGATCTTCTTCAAGCCCAACCATGAACTACAACATTGTTATTTATTATTTTTGTTCATTTGTTCATTTATTCTTTTATGAGAAGGAAAAAAGTTATAGAGGCTCTAAGGAACCTATATAGGAAGACATCTATGTGCTTGGGGCAATGAATAAAAAATTAGTTAATGTCTTGGATAACATTCCTTAATCCAAAAGTAAGGAGTTTTCAAAATAACAGTTTTCAGTTCTACTATAATACTCTGAGCCACACCAAAATCCCACTTATTCCTCTCTACAAAATGACCAAAGTGCACAACGGTGCAGCAACTCAAATTTTAGCCCTTTTTTCCTTGTTGCTGAAACAACACCATCTTAAGTGAGTCAATTTTGATAAGAGTCCAAGGTAGGCAACACCATTCACAACTTGAAAGTCACACATTTCCCACAAAGACTTTTCAATAAACATAAATAATATTCTGTATGCGCAAAGGAATAAACATACAATGTGAACTGGCTTGGTAATCTTCCATTCAGCAACCCCAGCACGAATATAGGTATTTCTACTTACATACAGACCTGTAAATGTAAGTGGATCAGTAGTTGTAGTCAGGCCAAAATAAAATAAAATAAAATAAAAACTTGAATAGCTAAAAGAAGAAAACCTACTACTTGAATGCACGGAGACACAGAAAGCAGAACTGAAATAATGACAATTCAACTTCATGGAACACCATGACAAACAACCAAGGAATCATTTTAA